CTGTGAACCAATGTTTCGGCCACCCCACGGGTGCGTGTCGCCATCTATTGGTTGAACTAACGCCTTGTTCAAGATGGCTGCCGTGGGACCGCAGCCTTAACAATGACCATCTACGCGATCTTTTATGCAGTGAAGAGCGACAGTTGCTCTACATATGCATAAATAATTTCAGATTAAAATAAGCTCGACCATGCCCTCTTTCCCCGTATTGTTCTCTTTAAGGTCCGAAATATCTGGGAAGAGGGCGCGGAAGAGACTGGAGCTCCTCCCTTTCCCTTCGTCCCCCCCCCCCCCCCCCCCTTTCCCTCCCGTTTTTCCTCTTCTGACGCTGCTGGTATGGTAAAACGCTCCTCGACCTCAAGTTGCGTCAGCTTCTGTGCTTTTTGCTCGGCGTTTCTTCCGCCTCAGAAAATAAACCTCCAAAGCAATTACAAACAAAAAAATTGTCAAGGTGCAGGCGAGTTGGTGTATGTTGATCATGATGCAAAATCCCGAGACTGGGAATGAAATTCGAAAGAAATAGTGTAAGAAGAAAGAAAAAAAGGGACAGGGCAAAGTCTCAAACTCACTTGAGTTAAGTTTGAGACGTTACTCCTGAGCCGAGTTTTCAGCTGAGTTGAGTTTGAGACGTTGTCCTGAGCTGAGTTTGAGACGTTGTCCTGTCCCCTTTTTTCTGTCTTCTTACTTTTTCTTTCAAATTTCATTCCCAGTCTCAGGATCTTGCATCATGTACAAACTAAACTTACTACATGCCAGCGTCACTCGGGCGGCGTTCGATCGGATTACTACCAGCGTGCAAGGGGGTAGGGTGGCAGTTTGCCAGATCACTTCAAGGTTTTTCTGAACCTCAAACACCTGCCTGCCCCTGGCCGTTTCGAACTGGATGTGTATCGTTAAACAGTGCGTTCGTAGGATCACTACTTCGTAATGCACGTTAATGACCACCCCGGGCTGGCGGTCACAATTACTGATCTATTGTTACACGTCACTGCACTGGCAAATATTCCAGCACATCCGGGGCACTCTCGTCTCATTTAATTGCCTGACCAACTTCGCGCAGTCTAAATATCACACCCGAACTTTTCTAAACCTGATTTCGTGAAAACCAGTGAGGTGTGAAAACGTTATTTGAAACGGAAACTGTGGCGGAACATGAAAACCGGACTTCGAAGTTTGCGCACTTAGACTTAAAAGAAATCGAAAACCTTCGAAGTTTTTTTTTTTTTTTTTTTTTTTCTCGAATTTAGCAATAAAGAAAATCGAAACCTTCGAACTTTATGTAGAAATAAATTCGAAATCTTCAAATTTATCGAACTTTATGTATTTAAAAATTCGAAACGTTCGAATTTTAGATCCAAAGAAATTCGAAACATTCGAATCTCTCAAATTTCAAACTAGGGAAGTTCGAAATCTTCGAATTTATCAAACCTCAAGTAAACAAATATTCGAAATAATCGAACCCGAACTTTTAGAAACCGTGAAAGCTTCGAACTTTTCGAATTCGAAACCCCACGATTTTGGAAAGTTGCGAATTTTTCGAATTCGAACCTCCCTGCGGTCGAAAATATCGAAACTTGTCGAAATCGAACATCAGTTCGGTTCGAAAATATCGAAACCTTGCGAATTCGAACCTAGGGTGGTTCGCGGCATCCCTACACAGAAGCGCTGATGCGCACGCGATCGCAGAGACGCGCGGGAAAGCTTCAGGAGGAGTCGACCGGCGCGCCAACTCTCAATTTAGACATGAACCACCTTAGCAAGCGGGCGCGGTGAGCCCACTACCCCATTTTAGGCCACTGTAGTACCGCCAATCTGCATCGCCATATTCTATGCAGGCCCACGTAGTTCAAGAGAGAATTCCCTGTTGAACTACGTCAACAATTCTTTTTTTTTTTTTTCAACAAGGAGAAACCTAATACAATGCCAAACACTCTAAAACAAGAAGGGTGTAGCCATTACTCCCTTTGTCACATACATGCAGGGTTCCGTGTTTTCGGATAAATCCGAAGAACTCCGAAAAACGTCCGCCGGTAAAATTCTGGTCAATTCTGATTTATCCGATCAACTCCAAATTTTAATGCGTCAATGCCCCCCCCCCCCCCCCCCCCTTTTTCCTCTTTCCCCAAATGAACTAAATAAAGACGGTATTTTACAGTTAAGTTTGATCAGCGCACAGGGTCAATGGTCACGGGAAAATGCCACCACAGTTATCTTTCAAATCTCGGATCATTGACAAAAGGGGTCTTGCCGCTATCTCGTCAAGGTTCAGGACGACATGTCATTGTGCTTTTGGGTCACGACAAAAGCTTCTGTATTGGTTTCCAGTTTGGGCCGTACTATTTGTGTTTTAAGAGGAAGGAGAGGTTGTGTTTTTTTAACAGTTAAAGCAATGGACGATACAGATTGCATAAAATTGGAAGAGGGCCAGTTGAAATTTGTTATATCCTTTACCACTCCATCTCGCGCGGCCGCGTAGTATGGAATAGGATGGGATGAATACCTGCTTCCCAGCGACTATCTCGGGAGTTTATTTTTTAAGGTATGGACGTTTATCGAGGCCACAGATGTGTGCAACTTTTGCCGTGGGTACAATTAGTATTGCCAATGCAACGGCACCGACACCAGATCCAGCTTAAGAAATATTAATTCATATAAGCGCATTTTTCTTTAACATACGTTTACACCCGGATATTATTTACTTTTCATAGGAAACACTGCGAAATTAAGCTCCGAATTTCGGAGATTTTGGACAAACAAAAATAAACTCCGAATTTTTGGAAAAATAAAAAAAACTCCCAAAAACATCCTCCGAATCTGACGAAAAATGAGGTCGGAAAACACGGAATCCTACATATATGACACCCCATAACTTCAGTTGGATGTACAGCGCATTGACGTCGAACGGACCTCCCCAACTTTTTCGAGGGTTGATGACGGTGCGATGCAACATATAAAGCAGCTAAAATATGTATGTCTAGAAAAAAAAACAAAAAAAAAAAAACAGGTTTTGCAGTAGGGCTGGTAAAGCCAAGAACCCCCCCCCCCCCCCTTTTTTTTTTTCTTCAGTCAGTTACACGAACATTAGCTTTTTTTTAATGAGTTGTACGACTCGGCTATCAAGCCTCTCGTGAAATTTGGTAGCGTCGGTTCAACGTCAGTGCGCTGCACGTTCAACTGAAGTTTAGGGGTGTCGTGTATGTGACAAGTGGTGTAAGAATATACCCCCTTTTTTTTTCTTTCTTCTTTTTAGTGTGTATGGAGTTAAAGAAAGATATTTTGATAGCCCTCTGGGGAACGTCACAGGACGGCAGGGCGTCCCAGCAATCTAAAAAGATGTTCTAAAGATTCAGGATTTTTGCAGAGAAAGCAAGCAGTGCCTAATGAGACAACTATCTTTCTCTGCTCAATTCAAGTTTTTACGGGAAGAGTTTTCGTAACTTAAAGAAAAAAGTTGTTGTTTTCTTATAAAAGGGTGACGGTGGCATTTTTTTAAACTCCAACTCAAAACATCCTGCCCTAAGCCTGCCTTACATTACGGTACGCAGTCCTCATAGACACGCTTGCGGACGAGCAGGGGTTTATGTTTAGCTATCGCGTTCCACTCTTAAATCCGAAGCTTATGCGTCCTCCTGCGATTTTTTCACTGCCTCCGTAGTTATATGTACGCTGTACAACATGAAAACCCGCTCGTGGCGCGTGGACGGGACGGGCAAACAAGGGCATTTTCTTTTACGATAGACGCGTCTAGCGTACACCATGGCGAAGAAAAGAAGGCAGCATAAAACCCACAAAGCTCGCGAAGCTACGTCAGCAGGGCACCGCCACACCGCACCAGGCGGCTCGCTGTAGAGAGAAACACAAGTCCATCCAGGATGGACGCGTAAACCATGACGGCTGTGAGGAGATGCGTGCTCTCGTCCGATGGCCAGGTCCAGCACCCTATGCACGGGACTTCTGGCGAACCAGTGCGTGCTCACTCTGACCGCCATGGCCTACTCCTTGACGGCCACCACAAACACAGGTAAGGAATGCAACCTTTCGCAACCACAGCATCAGTATTAGAGGTTTAGTAGATCGTTCCAATACCTCAGATATCCCTGACAACGATACGACGCATACGCAAAGGCGGCGGTGGAGTATCGGGTATCGGAGTCATCGCAACGATCTACTAAAACTATTCGCGCAGACGCTCCATCCAACCAGACCAAAGTGGACGAGTTCGTGAAGAGCGTGGCCAAGCTGTCGTTCCTGAACCCAATCTTCGTGCAGCCGATGGTCCTCGAAGATGACTGGGCCGGCTTGCTGCGGGAGCTCAACGGCCGCGTCACGGGCATCCGCACCCTGCACCGCAGCGACGCCGTGGTGATGCGCTTCACCAGCACCGTGGACGTGCACTCCATGCTCGAGATGGGGCCCCTCCACGGCGCCCTCACCGTAGTCCTGACCCCGGCCCGCGTCGTCGGCAGCCCCTTCGTCAGCTCGCCTCTATACCACAACCGACGACAGTTTTCCTTCGACGTGAAAGCCGTCAGTATGAACTTCTCGGCCGGCACGGATTTCGAGAGCGGCAAGGGCCGCTTGCACGCGCTCTCGCTCAAAAAAGATCATCGGCCTGAATGCTTCCATCGATGAAATGGACATTTACGGGGGCTCCATCGCGAACCTCTTTACCTACGTGCTGAAACGTCACGCTGAACGGTGTGTGCGTTATGTCGTCGAAAACGTGCTTCGCAGCGTCATGGCGGGCACTATACGCTACGCAGACCTCAGCGCGGAGGGCCTGCTCAAGAACTTCGTGCGAATGATCAGATGATCGTACCGGGTACTCTTAATTTTTGTCGATATGCACCTGATACTAGCAGACAACGCGCCTCTCGAGAAGAACGCGGGATTGTAGGGTGTATAAAACAACTTCAAGAGGATGTGTGTGAAAGCAGAGAGTGTAATGTTGGAGTCAGTATAGCGAATAGAAACGAACATTCGAAAGGCCACGCGAGGGATAATTTGAACAAACTATATTTCGGAGGGCTCGTGGGTTGCACATGAAAATACAGGTGGTGAATCCTGATCAAGTAGTGCACTACTTTTATCATTTCTTGAAGGCTGAATTTCACGAGCAAGTCTAGAATTGAATAGTTGCAAAGCTGTTTTCATTTTAATAATGAGACAGACGAATTGTCTATATAAACAAGACCTTCGAGGCTCTACATACCATCTAGAAGACGAGGTTTGCAATGCCCACTACTTCGTTAGTGGATCCAAAACGCTGGTGGATTCCCGATCCGCCCCAGGAAGCCGACGCGTTGAAGCTCGATGCAACGAAGCTTCACTGCGCGCCAGCACCAAGCTCGTTGAAAAACGCCACCGACGCATCGGGGACGCGCTCGCGATAACGAGAGTTGTCACTAGTGTTGACGTAGGAGGAAATGTGCACGCCTTGTCTTCTAGATGGTACTGCTACAAATCACTCACGTGGCGAGTTGAACCGCTCGGAGTCGCCAGGAACGTAGTCAACAGAAGGAAGAATTCAAAATTCAAATTAAATATTGTAATGCAGTAAGATATCACGTTTAACAAAAATAAAGGCAATAGAACCACAGCAACCCACTAAAAAAAATAAAAAAAAAAGTGCACTAGCTTTTTGCTTAGAAGCCAGAGAAAGTTCCAAAATATTCCATGTTCCAATAATTTGGCCTGCCAAACTGATGGTGGGTCTAGAGACCAATTAGTAAATTGTGTGCTCCCTTCTAAAGAGAAAATGGTTCAACCTACTCAGCAGCCGATGTGGCATATGAGGATGCTTTCTGAGCAATGCGCCTAACTTCCAGAAAGTTTGGTCCTGACATGAAAGATGCTTGCTGCAGTTTGGCTGTCACGTCTGTCTGGCAATGTAACGTCCCCGAGACGCAAGCTCATTTATGGCAGTTAAAAGCGTCCTCCCAGAGATAAAGTGTAACCTTCTACCTCGTTAGATCACACATTTCACAATAAACCAACAAACTATACCACAAGTTGGGCAACGAGGAATCCCAGTAACTAAACATTTTACTTCCTTAACTCGAGGCAATTAACTAGCAGTCATACAACGCCGGCCACATCCTTTTCACAGGTGCCACCACAGCCCTATGCACATATACAGAAACCGAAGTTCAGCACACTCCAAACCAGCACGGCCCTCAAGGAATCACTGCTCTGCTGACAGCAGCCTGCCAGCCAAACTGAGGCAAGCCTTTTCCGAACAGCGACCACCACTAAAGACCGGAGGGCGGCAGGTAGGCAAACCTCCCAGCACACCCCGCAGCTCAAACCTCGCAGCAGAGAGGCGCACATGTGCATCACAAGCGTTACTGCACATCTTCAGCGATGGTGGCAGCAGCAAAAGCCATGAGTGCTGTTGCCGCCTGTTTCGCTTCCAGATGCAGCCGCACTTCGCGGATCCAGTCGCGTGCTACTTGGCGAGGCTCGCCGCGCAGTTGCGTGGCGTACCGGAGAGCCTGCTCGAGATCTTCGTGGAGCAGCCAGTAGCGCACGCGCGAAAGCACATCGAACGTGTCCCACATTTCAGGATTGACGCGCTGCTCGTTCAGGAGCTCCTCTTCTGGCAGCTCCTGCAAGGAGGCCACAGGGTGGTCAAATCATGCAACTGGCGCCTCCAAAGTGACAGCTCTAGCATATAAACCGGAGGCATGCGGTTTAGAGAAGCTTGTTTTAGCGAACGCCTTTTAACCGACCAGTTAATCAAATCCCTTTATAGAGGAACCCAGCTAAGAGAAAATGGCGACGAGCCTCCTTTTGCGAATTCGGCTGCTGCGAAACAGTGTGTACGGATGGGTCAGGTGGGTTAACATTTTTGTAATGAGCCGCCGTAGACTGTCGCCGCAAAGCGGCGTGAACACGGGGGTTAACACGCGCCCCAGTGATACACGTGAGAAGTAATAGCGTTTCTTTTCTATAAACGGCATCTCTCTCAATTGCGGCTCCGCCTTCTCGAAACCGAGCTTCGATAAAACGTGCCCGTTCTCTGAAACGAGTTTCGATGAAATGGCGTTCGATCAACTGTAGTAAACCCAACATGAACAACTTTTATTGCATGCAATAGGTCCTTTTTCAATAGTGCGCGCCATCTATACTCCGTTTCACCTCATGTGGTACCGCAGCGAAGGCTAGAAGCGCGAGCTCATAGCGTTGGCAGCTGCCCTTGGTGCACGAAAGCTTGTGCCGCCGAGATGTGCCCTAGAACAAGGAGCTCGCACTTGTAGCCCTTTCCTGTGGTACAACACAAGGTGAAACAGAGTATAGTAGCTGCAGCACCAATAGACCATTCCGGAAAATCCCACAAGGCCTCTCGCCAATCCCACATTGCATCTCGAGGCCTAGGACCTTTCTGGAAAGTAGCGTGTGCCGTCAAGCGGTGTGCGTGAGGCATTATGTGAACAATGAGGGCTGCTGCTCCGTCGTCTGCTGCTACCGCCATACCGCCTGCGAGAACCACGTTGTCTATGTTCGTGTTGCGTTCCTGTGTACAGCAGACTGCAATCTTTGCAGCGCTGTACACGCTGTACACGAAGCGCGAAAATTGCCCACTGGGCCCTTGTCGATTGATGCGAGAATACAAGAACGTCTTTTCGAATACGCTACGATAATGAATTCTCGTAGCAAGGAAAATCGCCCACGTCCTTTGGAAACATGCCATGACAGGTGACGATCTTTCAGGGTGACGTGGTCGCACCTGGACACGCAGCATGTCTGTCCATTGCACTTTTTTTAATGGGCCATCGTTCTGGATGGGTCACCATTCTTTTTTGAATGGATCATCGTCAAAAGAGCGAGGTATCACTCACGCATCCAACATTTCTTTATTTGTGTTTGTTTTTGTTACGGGACTCAGTTGAGCTAGTTGGTACATTTTATTTTCTTTTGCCAAAAAAAAAAAAAAGTGGCTTGTCTTAAAAACGTTTGAAGACCATTAGCTCGCCTGGATTCATGAATGAATTAAGAATGGTACTGCAGTTCGGGCAGTAGCGAGCGCCACCTAGCATGCAAAACCTCCACTAGGCTAGACTTGGCTTGGCTAAAGGGCACGACACTCTTACAGTTTCCATAATGCCCCAGAGCGCTCACTGGTGGCGCTGGCGTCTCCAGAAAGGTCCACTCCTTCCCTCTTACCACTGCGAGTTCAGAACACAAAGAAAAAAGAGTGAACACATGGCAAAGTCGATACGCACCATTCTGTTATCGTTCTGCTTTCTTTGCGTTCTGAAATCGCGAAATGCTAAGTCAACAGAACCGTTTCTTCTATTTATGGGCACGCCTTCACAAACTGTACATGGGAATGCTGTAGCACGTCGAAAAGACGACGGGAGGCACTGCATATTTCCAGAATGGTCTATAATCCGAGTCCAGCTGCATCAGTGGTTGGCATGAACTCGGCTGCAGGTCGTACCGAAAACGAGCGCTGCGTTTGCGTTTGGCGAGGAGTCACACGCCCAAGAAATGTCAACAGCCAATGTTGCTTGATGGACTTTTGAAAACTTGATTCAGCACTCTCTGTGCACCTCAGAGGTGGTAAATGCTAATCAGCATCCCTATTGAAAAATCCGGCAAAAACTTCCTGTGACATCCGGTGAAAACTGGTCAAGTTTCACCCGTTTTCATCTGAAACCAGCGTAGTTTACCAGTCTTTGCTGGAATATTTGCCGGCAAACAGATTTCACTGAAACTTCACCAGCAGCGGGTTTCCAGATTTCGCTGGAATGTCACCGGCAGCCGCTTTCGTTTACCAGACTACCCTGGTTTGGTGGAAATGTTACCAGAAACGAGTGACTCGTTTCCCGTTTACCGAACTTCACTGGAAGTCCACGCGAGGGAAGGGGGAAGCCGAGACAAGCCGGGGACTGGGTGTGTAATTATGGTGCCTAGAACACACCAAGGATGGGTCCCCACGCACCCTCTCTCTCATTGGGTTTTTGGGGAAAATGTAAGGAGGCCTTTTTGCTCCTTTGAAGAAAACCGGTTTCTTTCTCCGTCAGTGAGCAGCGGCCCCGAGCGGATGCTCAATGTTCCATGTCTGTGACCTGTATCTTCCAGAGCAGCTGGGTGTGCGGATAAAAATCTTTGTCCGTCCAGCTTCAGAAGCATCCAGTGAGCAAAAAAGACGCTGGAGACGCCGTGAATGTGCCCGTGATTTCTCAACGGCGACGGATGCTCCTTTTGCACGTTCGTGGTTTTCGCTATGCGTGCTACCGACAGTGTGTATGTGTCCGCGTGGTGCACCTGCGGCAACGGCATCAGTGACGACACCGTGACTATGCCCATGATTTATTCTCAACAGCAGCGGATGCTGGCGTGCGTTCGTGGTTTTCGCTAAAAATGCTACTGAGTGTGCGTGTGTCCGTGTGATGCACTTGCTCGGTTTTATTAGTTGAACTACCGTACATCTAGGAATTTACCCAGAGGCATTGAGTACCTTGAAAAGATATTTTTGCGACAAAGAACTCGGTTGTTCCTATCTGGTCCAATTGCTTTTGTCTACAGCTGTGCAAATTGTTTCACTAATATCGACCCTGTGAAATAAAGACATGGAACTTTCATGCCTATATGAACTAACCGCCTTTTAATTATTACCGAATTGTCCAGCAGTTGGTAAACATACACCACCCACGGTTCACAGGCTTTTTCGTAAGTGCCTTCCAATGACGTCCGAAAAAAAAAAAGAAATGCAGTAAGTTCCGTGTTTCACGTATTTGTAAAAAGAAACACTGTAAGGTCACATACCATGAAAAAAAAAAAAAAAAAAAGCTGTATAAATGTCAGTGAGAAAATAACTATAATTAGAAAGTAATTTTGTAATAAACCGGGAAGAACAGAAACTACTACCGTAAAGTTCGCAAAGAATGCCCGCCCCCGAGAGATCACCCATCCCGTTTTTCTGGCTAAATATCTGTAACATAAAAATTTCGAAACGTTGCCCCCGATTCCCGCCGGACGTCACGCGATGTCCGACAGGAATCGCATCAACCGCGCAATTTGCCGTTACCAGCACGTCTGACAAGTGAGTTCATAGCGGGTTCCCGCGATCTGCAAACGCGATATCGGCTCCGGTAACACGCGAGTTGTTCCTGCATGTGTTGCCCAGTGAAATGCGAATCTGCTGCGTCTGCAATCTGCGGTATCCGTTCCGTGACAAAATTTGTAGCAGATTCCCGCGTTTTTGTCCGCGATCTGCGCGCGTGATCTCGATTCCACGCAAGTTGATACCGCGGATATATTGCAACGTGACATACGCGATTCTGCTGCGTTCGTGAGCTGCGGTATCTGTTCCCGTGACATACGAATTTGTAGCGGATTCCCGTGTTTTTGTCCGCGTGCTTATTGCACCATAAAACTTGAATCTGCTGAGTCCTCGATATCCATTCCTGCGAGATGCGATTTCTCGGCAGGTTCTTCGCACCATGAAACACGCATCTGCTGCATCCGTAACCTGCGACATTTTCTCCCGTGACACAGGTGTTCGTAGCGAATTCCCGCATGTTTATCGCATCGTGAAAAGCGAAACTGCGGTGTCTGCGATCTGCGGTATCAGTACCTGCATCAAGTGGTTTGTAGCCGGTGCCAGGGTGTTTATCATTAATTTTTGCTAAAGTTTTGCTGTGGCATCCCCAAAGACTATGTTTTTCACCACTTATCTCTTCATTTTGGGTGGGCGTGTTTTCGGAACTTTACGGTAGGCATTTTATTAGGCTTTTCTCTAAAAGAGTATTTAACAGAACCAACGAACTTTGACGGCTCGCAAGCCATTTCATATAAGTAAAACTTTTTTTTCATTCGCAGACGTAGTTGAAGACATTATTAATCTGGTAAATTGTCTCTGAACTCAAGCTTGAAACCCGAAAATTGACCAGTTGGTGACCCTACTTCGATGCAGCCGTGCTGTATCGAAGTAGGGTCACCAACTTTTTACTTAGTGAATATAAACATATGTTTCCTATTAGAAACTTGCCGAGCGTCATGGAAATCCACTAAATCATTGGGGAGCATGGCGGAGCGTTAAAGTTACAACTCGTGCAGCAGAGCAAGGCTACTGGTGCGATAACACGCCCGTGCGGTTTTTCCGTCTACTCGTCTGCGTTTTCTCACCGCTAGCCTTATGTCTGTTGTACGAGTGGTAAATTTAGCACACTACTGAACTTCCGATGCACTCAATCGTTCTAAAAATAACTGAAATAGTTGCTTTCGATGACGCTCAGCAAGTTTCTAATTGGAGCCATATGTTGTTTTTGACCAATTGAAAAGTTATTTAACAAATTTTAGTTCATTATTCGACTTATCGTGATGATTATCCCCCTAAATCATGTCTTCATGGCCATATAACTAGGCTGTACACTTTCTGGTTTTAACTGAAAAACACCGATAAACATCCGTCGGTGACAAAAATACAAAATCAGTCAAAACCAAAAAGCACTGGTGGTTGAATATTTTCGCCCAGATTAAAACCAGTAAACAACGGTCATTGAATGTCTCCACACTAGCGGCGGCAATTGTTTTCAAAACTCCTCCCCCATAGATGTTTGTCAAACCTGTTATCTCGTGGATCCTGCCTTCCTCCAGTGTCTAATCAGAAGTCGCTGTGGTTCTTGGATGTTACTTCCAACATCAGTTTAGTCCAGGACTTTGGAGATGCGTCTCTTCAAAATAATTAGCCTCAATTACTGTCGCTGTGGCAGCATTTATTCACGGTAACCAAGTGAGGGTGCACAAGCCTCATTCGTTTTTTACTTTTTATGACATTTCTTTCATAAAAATATGGTGGCAAACAAAACTGGCACAGAAATAAATAAAAATAGATACTGTTGGCTACATGACTTCGTTTTTTACAATAAAAACTAGGGTGTCCAGGCAAAATCTGTTTTCTATAGTTCATTTCAGAAGTGTCAGGCACCAACTTCGACAATAATTTAAGCAAAGCCCTGAAATTGTCGCACAGCTCCTTTAAGGGAAAACACTGCCCAAAAAAAAAAAAAAAATTGTTTTGCAAAAAAGGTTGATTTTGAAAAATGATATTTACATCCACCAACATCTAGAGAGTATTCCCAAAAAGTTTAATTAATTTACACTGCATAGTTAATTTTTTATAAATTATTTTCTGTCCACCAGAGCTGAAGAAAAGGTAGGGTTTAGAGCACTTTGAACACATTTTTCTCTGTTCCACTTTTTGGTATAAATTCCATTTTAGTCAATCTATCGTTTGATAATGGCAAAACGGGGAAGGCTCATTCTTCCCTTTTCCTCACTGAAATTTAATAAGGAATGCGGCTATGGAACTTTTTTGTCGCTTTACGGATGTCTTTTAAGCTGCACATTGAGCACTTAACATCAATGTGTGATAAAATCACTAAAAATGGGTTAATCTTGAAAGTGCTTCCAACATTGTGTTCTCTACACCTCGTGGTACCTAACCATTCATTAAAGAGGATATTTTGTTGAGTAGTTTTTCCCTATTGTTCCTCCAAAGAAAGACAGTTGAGTTTTAATTATCTTGATGACAATTCTACTGACTGAGAAAATGACCAGATATTTGAAATCAGCACAAAAAGCTGAATAAGATTGTGCAGTTTCAATGGGTTTGACCATAAGAAAAAAGCTCCAAGACCGGTGTTCCCCCTTAAAGGGATACTACAACGAAATTTCGGCGCTCATTTTTTGGTCTATATGTGTTCAAAAAAGCACCATCAAATCGAACATACCAATATCTCGTTAAAAAAGTCACGAAAAGGAATTTTAAAACAAATTAAACGATTAGCAAAGAGCACCTGGTGGATGTCGCTAACGCCTCGCTTGTAATGCCCGTCTAGCAACCTTGGCAGCTAGTGACGGAGGTTGTCTCGAATCCGGCCACGACGAGAGAAGAGGGGCAGGAGGAACTCCCCTCTTCCCGAGAATGCCTTTTGTGTGTCGCAGAAGTCGCTATTGTCCCCCTACAAGATTATAGAAGATTAACCCGTCACTCAAAATTTGTACAAAAGCAGCCGCTTCGGTGGCTGGAACGACTAGGCCATCCTCTCGACGTCAACCTCGCCGTGGCTTTGCTCGTCTTGAGACGACATACGTCACGATTGCGTTGGATGTCACGTGGTCTCCGCTGGGCCTTCTCCGAGCGCTTGCCAGAGTGGGCCGTTTATAACGAAAAATACAGCCACCAGGCTCAAAATACAAACGTGCGATTGTCATTTACGGATAATGTGGATCATATTCAACCTATTTTTGAACACGACGGGAATATTTCAAATTTCGTTGAAGTATCCCTTTAACAGCTCCACTGAAAAATCACAAGCAGAATCGAATCAAGCGAATCACGCATAAAAAGTCAGTGATGACTACTGGGAGCAATTATCAACATCTCCTTGTACTATCTACTGTTTACATTGAGCCTATTTAACCCAAACAACCTTCAAACTTAAGTCTTCTGAGGCCTGCCCTTCCTCCTATCACAATGTTTGGTCTACTGGCGGCTGTCGTTTGAATGAGTTTGAAAGAGCAGACGACAGTTTGAACTATCAGACGACAGTTTGAACAATGGGACGGCCGTTTGAACGTGAAGACGCAATGAACGTGGTCCGGAGGTGATCCGGACGCAGTTTTTCCGCGTTCGTATTGGAACAAAACAAATAAATCTGACGACCACAAGCATCCGTGAATTCAACCCAAAGTGCCTTCCGCACAAGCAATCATGGTCCAACAATATCTGGTTTCCATTTTCACAGCACCTATACACATTCTCGGACGAACTGAGCACACAGAATACACATGAAAACTGATCTTCAAACCTTTCCTGGCTGTTTTAATACAGCCCCAGTCGTGGCATTTTGACGAGAAGGCAGGTTTTAGTATGATTTCTTTCCAAACGACACGGGAATGACTGTCCCTTATGGCGACTTCTGCCCACAGCCCCAGATCGAGTGTGTGCCCGATGCAGCACCACAATCGCGTAATGTAACAGAGTTCAGTTGGTGTATAGACCCCCGCAGCTGTGTCCGCAGATACTGATTATGTCACCTCTCTCTGTCTCACTTTCAGATTCTGACATTTCAGTTTCAACGATTTTCATTATTATATTTTGAACGTTGCACTTGTAAGAAGATATGCGTACGAAAATTCCAAACAAAATTAGGCAGCATATCGAGATCGAACATGTGTCTAATCACTATCATCTAATTTTTGTGGAAGTGTCTTCAGTGTTTGCGTTCCAAGCGGAGCTGTTTCCCACAGCCACCCTCCCGTCAGTGATAGGCAGTCGAGATTCGCACAACCGGGGGGTAAAGACAAGAGCGGAGAGTGGCAAATTGTAAGCACCGACATCAATGGTCCTGAGAGAAAGAACAAAACAGACAGAAAGGTGGAAAAAAAAGAAGCAAATTAAAGGTTAGGTGCGTTGACTTTACCACAATGCGTCGAACATGTTCACTTGCTCGTCAACTCTTCTCGCAGAATAAAGCTAAAAGAGCCAACACCAGCGTGAGCTTCCCACCTTCAGTAACACTTTGGAGTCTTGTGAGCTTTGAGCAAGCAGGCGTCGACAAAGCCAAATGAGAGGCAACGAGCACGTGCTGGAGGCTAGGCATTCAAAAGACACGCCCTGTCATTCTCATCCTGTCAGAGACTCTAGGCACTGGCTTGGCAAGGGACAGTTAGCTTCTTTCTGTTTAACAAAGCCTCGTCAGCAATCTGGGCCCACCGGGACCATCAGTGTCCGCGTCTATGCCTTGCCACTCCGACGCAACCCAAACACACAAGAAGATGGCGGACCTTTTCCTCCAGCTTTGCTACTTGAATGCTAAGCGCACAGCTCACCTTGGGGTAAACGATGAACAAGGACTGGAGGTACGACGCCAGATAGCGGAAGAGGCTGCCGCCTCGCTCGTCGACCAGCGCCACGCGGCGGCAGACCTGCTCGACGTGGGCAAAGCGCTCCTTGAGGGCCACCTCCGGGTAGACCCCGCGGCTGAGGGCCTCCTCGGGGATGCTGGCCAACACGAGCGGGACGTACGGGCTCATGGGGGCCGCCTCCCGCACGGGCTGCACGTCCTGAGCCAGTGGCTGGGGGCCCTCCCGGCTCGTGTGGCCGTACACCAGCGTCTGCTTCAGCCCCTGGCACGCCAGCCACAGGCCCTTGGCCTGCTGCGACACTCGGTCCAGCTCGTCACGGGCTGTCGGATCGAGGGCGCACAAACTATCAGCCTATGTCGGGTTCCACAAACTGGCGATTATGAACAATGCCCGCGCGTCTACTTTCCCTCGTAGGATGCAAGCAGCCAACAGTTGCGACGTACGAAAAGATAAAACGAAATGAAGAGGCGCAGAAAGTGTTTGTTCTCGAAAATGACAGTAATGGAAGCGGCATTTGGCCTTTCGTAGCAGGTTCTGTAGCAAACAAAACTTTGGTTCGGAGCAGTCACTGATCCTTTCGGAGCAGATGCCAACATCTGCTAACACATCACTTGAAAATGAAAAAGTGATTGCATCGCTAAATGGGTTCATCTTTGATAATGACAGAGGATTTCTCTTTGATACTGGAGCATATTACTTATCTTCTGTAATAAGAATCGATGGGGTACCAAAGGAACACCGGGCATTCTTTTTAGAAATAAGGCTCTAGTCGGAGAAGGTTCCATTTCAATGCGTAGGTACTAAACAATTGATGAAAAATTAATCACAGCACAACACTTCAGTTGTGATAAAGCTTCTCTTCCCTCACACTTTCACAGTCAGTAGTTCCTTTACCCTGTGTATATAAGTTCTGTAAAATGCCTGCAGAAGCCTAGCTCGTCTATCGACAAAGTTGTATCCCCCAAGTTTTATGAACCTACCAAACTCAATGAACAGGCAAAAAAAGAAAAAGACGGACAAAGCAATACTGGAGAAAGAAAAAGGTAAACAAAGATAAGGCGTTCAAAGTGTGATTGCTGAACCGGTGTTATCGACACACTCAACTTGACGAAGTTGTTCGTTTTTTTTTTTTTTTTTTTTGCTCATTTTATTTTGGGGCTAGGAGTCCCACACCGACAGCGGTGTTTGGGGAAAGAGCGCACGCTATTGTTCCAACAGCAGGCACTCCCTGCCCTCCCTACGTGTGCGCGTGCCCTTCCCCTTGCTTTTGCCCATCCTCCACTTTCTTCTTCTTTTCTTTTATTTTTTTTACGGTTCCTCTTTTTTTTTTCTTTCTTTTACAACTGCTCTTTTGCGGCGTACCCCCATGCGCGTATGCTGGCTTGGCGGTCTGCCAGCCCCGCAACGCGAGCTATGTGTTCGCTGCCTGCGCAATCCGACGGCGGGCGGCCGTTTTAGTTTGCTATATCAAGTATCCCCAACATGGGAGTTTGATACAGACAAACAACGCTGCTATACCGTTACATGTGATTTTCAAGGGGATGTTTGGACTGTTCGATATAAACAATAATTCGAAATACCCGAGTGCAATATAACCGGGCTTGACTGTAATTAAGTGATTTCATAAGGAGTACAAGACCCTGGTTCTGCCTTATCACAGGAGCCGCCATCCTACAATTTGGCAATGTTTTCTCGCAACTTTTAGGTCTTCACATCGCCGACATGGTCTGAAAATTCAGACGATGTCGGCGATCAATCCGCCAGAGCATCAACCAACCAGCGCAGTTGATGAGCAATAACACTTCGTTTCATCTTAATTTAAAGTGCAGCCACTGCTACGAGCCAATGGGACCAACCAGCGTCAAAGTGCAACATCATAGCATTCATCCATCTTCCTGTGTGGTCCTTCATCGACTAAAAGAATCAAGGGCAGTGAATGTACCATGACTTGTGCTTTTAGTATGTCTTTGTGGTTGTATGCGTTCGAGCCTTCGACTGTAGTACAACCTAAGATAAAACAAACTATAAGGCGAGTAAAGACGCTCTGAAACACATATTACAGCGGAGCTGTTAGGGGCTAGGTTCCCCAGGATTGTGTCCGGTATGTCGACACAAACCTACCTGGACAGCTACCGCCATCTAAAAGTGATGGCGGCAAGCACACAACCAGTCTGGTTGCCGCCGTCGCTTGTAGATGGCGCCAACCTTTCCAGCTAACATAGAAGAATGGATAGTTGGGCACGTTGGTGGGAATTCATTGTAGGAAACAGCGCGAAAAACAGACGACACGTAACGAGCGCAGCGCTCGTCACGAGTGTTACTTCGTCCTCGTCTGTTTTGCGCGGTGTTTCCTACACTCTTATCAGTTTCAGATTGGACTTGGGATGGGTCGGCCGCACGCCCTTTCGGGGAAAGAAGACTGGCTGAGCAAGGAGCGGCGACGCACGCAGCAGCGCAAATGGGTCCGCAACCGCCGCAAAGCCGCTCTCGCCCCGACTTCCACTGCGTCGAACGCTTCAGAGTCCCTTGCCAAAGAGCACATCGCTCGCCTGGAGAGCCTCCGCCGAGAACAGAATTAGCGATGTAAAGGGCACCGGCGGGCCAACGCCATGGACGATGATCGTGCCACGGACGCCAAGCGTAAGCGCGAGGCCCAGCGACGACAGCACTCCACGCCGGCTGAACAAATCCCGGGCACGACTGTGAGGTTTCGGAGGGAGTTCGTGGATTACCTGTTGGCGTCACGTGCGCTGTGTGCGACCGACTCTGGTTCACCGGAGACGTATCCATGATTGGTTGGCGTGTCAAACAAGAAGAAGCGGGAAACGGGCGCGTGCGCGTTGCGGCAGTGTATCGAGTACCTGCTCCGCTGCTCTTCCTTCTTCACAAGAGTGGAAAGGCTGAACGTTTTTGTACCATTTTCCTTTCCTCCTACTTCTCTAAATATTAAGCTCCTTCTCCAGACAGGCTATACACGACCTCCGTAGGAAAGCAGTTCCGTGCGCCTTGTTCATAAACAGTGCACAAGTTATTCAAGGCAAGACACGAATGCCGTGCCTCTCTGGTCTTGTGCAGCAATAAGCAAGTTTGTAAAGTTTACGTTCATGCACTCTACCTCTCTTCAATTAACTTTTCCCCAAAAAAGTTGTTTATAAAGGGCTCCTTGTTTTTAGATTTCTGAATTTTGCCAAATACCGTAGCTATAAGCATGTTTGTAAAGTTTACATTCATGCACTCTATATCAATTCGAAAAACTTTCCCCCAAAAAAGTTGTTTATGAAGGGCTCTTTGTTTTTAGATTTCTAAAATTTGCCAAATACCTGGTAAAAGTTGGGTTTTCCTTCCCAAACTTTCAGACTGTACTAACGACGAAGAGGGAAAAGTTGTGATTTTTAACTGGCATGAAGGAAAGGTACTTCTGTATCGGGAAAAATAATTACTCGGAATCATTAAGCTGGTTTAAAATTTCCAAGGTGATCAAGCTGCAAATGAAATTTTATTTTTGTCATAAGAAACTTTGTATAATTTATCCAGCAAGGCTACAGAAAGCTCAAACAATTTAAAAGACAGCCATGGCTCGTGAAACAAGGCGAACTCCCGTGACACAGCAAACAGCACAAGTCCAAACGAAAAAAGCAGAATATTCACCCTTGAGGTAGCCCTCCATGCCCTGGAGCTTAGCGACCGAAGCAGCCAGTGCCGCATTGTGACGGCTCCGTTCCTCAATGATCTTGCGTTCTATTGCCTGCCCAAAGGCACGGTCTAGGTCGTGCCGCTGGTCTTCCAAGGCCTCCTTGAGGTGCTCCGTGTGGGCTGCCACCTGTCTACGCAATTGCTGCTGCAGTTCTTGCTCGAAGGCTTCCTTCTGGTTCTCCAACTGCGAGCAAGATGCACAAGGAAGCAATGCCTTTTAATCCAACCTCTTTTGAAGAGAACCGAAACATAACCGCCCCATGAGAAGCCTCTTTTTCATGAGATCCACAAGAAACCAAAATTGCCCAAGGTAATCCGATCGAAAACTCTGCCCGGGACCGACCCGCTTTGCGATAAAATTAGCAAAAATCAGGCAGCCGCAATAAAAGCACTATCTAAACTGGCACACGAGGAGAAAGTGAAAAACCGTGATCTTCGCTAGCCTTGGCAATGCTGCCGATACTACTGCCGAGACTCTAGGATGAGGTTTTTCATCAAGAATGTTTGGATAATGGATCGTTCCCCTCAGATGTCAATGCTTCAACGGGGAAATATACAACAGCCAAGAGCCGAGGGAGGCTGAACTGCCAAATATCCTTAAACATTTTCAAGTGTCCTTACAACGAGTTCATAGTCTAGTACAAAGATCTGCACACTTTTTCAGCTCACCAACCACAGCAACGAAACCATATTCTGCTAACAAACACAGACACCCCATCAGACAGTTTAAAAATGACAGTCTCAACTCCCGTCCTAAAGGCCGACCTATTCGCGACTCCAGCGACCTATAGGGGGCGCCACCACCAAACAAACATGGCGGCTGAGTCCAGGTCGCGTCGGCTCGGCCAGGCCGCCTGAATGGGTGGCGCATTCAATTTAACAATTATTCTTTTGTTGAATGCCAAATTTTATGGGTATTTGAACTGAGACAGTTAAGTTTAGCCGGTGCGCATAAACTTGCCGAGCATAGTTTTGTTTTGCCGGTGTTTTTTGTTCTTTTCATGTCAAACTTTCGCTGCGGAGACTTCGATCAAAACCGAAACTATGGGCTCCGGAGAAACGGTGATAGACTCTAATTAGTTTTGATCATCTAAGGAAAGCGGCGAGGGCTACGAAATTGTTCCACCAAAAGTAATGTTCAGCTAACTCGCATGCCTCGATCATGCGACTTGCCTGTCCGCGAAATTGAGCTTTTGTGCCTGTCCGCGTTTCAAGAAACAGCTGCAGTCGTGTGCTCGGTCAAGAACACAGGCTGCAGGAAAATTACGAAAATTAAGCAAGCGCTTCTTGAGCCAAGGAGCATGTCAACTCGCTGGCACTTCACTAAGCAGCTGATACTCGTATTTCAATTCAGGTTTTAGTAGCAATCGAGAAGTCATTTTGATGAATATGCGGTTATGTATTATATTACGTACTATGGTCCCACTAAAGCGATATTAGGATGTTCTTCGGGTTGAAATATGAACTTAGTTGACTAACTATTAGGGTGAACTGCTGAATAAAAGTATATTTAACAGACAGAGAGATACTACTTAAACTTAGCCAAATGGTTCTAGCCGGTAGAACGGAGACGAATGCGGACAAGGTGAGGAGAGTCTTCATCGGAGATTCACTCACACCTCTCTGCATTGAACTTGACTTCGAATCCTCAACGAATAAAATTAGTATTATTATTTTTTTTTTTTTTTTGTGGCCGGTCAACTTGAGCAATGTAGACGTATATTGCTGCTGGATTTGACAGGGGTTATACGTATTGGAGGCGCGATAGATCCCAATGACGTGACAGCTTCTATCTTTGCGAGACGCGTCCCCGACCTTTTGAAAGCAGATAATTTCCCTCATTAATCAATCAAGTAATTGCGAAATTAGCCCAACTCCTTCAATGCGGTCTTTTTCGGCGAAAAGCCGCCAAGATGAATAGCCAACGCACCGGCCGGCGTTAGTGGCCCAAATTAACCTGAAGCTAGTCGAGCACAACCAAACTCAAGGAAAGCAGCTATCCAACCTTCCCATTCACTTGACTGCAACATTGGTGTCCCCTCCAGTGAAACACTTCGTCTGTCGACCTCAGTCTACTGTTCTACATCCTTATAAAGAAACCGCTTATCAGTTACCAAGCAGTCGTCACTTTGATCGTGATTAGAGATAGACGAGAAATCAAAACGTTTTTCCGTGATTCCTCCCCATCCAAAAAATTGAAAGCACGCGATCGTGTGTTGTGGAATAAACGGGCTTTCAAACACGTGATGGTAAGAAACAATCTACTGAGGCTCCACCACACTAATGAACGCTCAGGCAAACTTATGAAATTTTCGGACCTTCGTCAAATTACATTGCTCGCCGCCGCGCCGACAGCACGCGTCCGCGAAAGCCATCACAGACGCGGCGGGGCGCGGAGCGACCTGGACCGGCTGGTTCCCGGTTTTCCCGCTTGGCGGCGTCCGTTTTGCTGGAGTCGCGAATAGACTAGTCTTCTGCTGGGAAGAAAACCGGTTCCGTTTCCTCCTCTCCATTTCCTCACACTTTTCTCTCCTCTCCCCCACAGGAGCGAGTCTCTGAGCTATTCCCTGCAAAAAGGAGGGTCTCCCTCTTCCTCAAATGGAAAGGAGGAATTGAGGGAGTTTTCTCCTTTCTGCTCATTGGTCAACCTTTGAGGGGAATTCCACCATTTTTTTTATAGTCTCTAATTTGGCTGGAAATGGGCACACCGCATCAATAACCCTTTCTCAACTAATAGCCAAAATATTTTCTGAAAAAAAAAAAAAAAGATTTTCCATGAAGTACCGTAGTTGAATTTTCAAGTTACACCGGCCACAAGGGTTCCAAGAGGCGACTCTACTGGCAACAATGAAAAATCCCTACTTTTCCCTACCCGCGTACGTCACCGGCAGGCAGGCGAACGAGCAACCCGGGGCAGCAGCGAAGTGGCCTTCCGGGCATCAGCGATCGAGATTTCACAGCTTCAAGGTTGAAAGTTCCTTTGCAATGGGTAGCAATCTGTGCTCCACGGTAGATTGTAGGAACAGTGCCGGGAAAAGCTTCTTTTTTTTACCCTTGTTTTTCGTGGGAGAAAAAAAGTGTGCTCCGTGGCAGCAATGGAGGCCAGCCAGGTCAAGGTGCTTTTGCACAAGCTGTGTGCCGAGAGAACTAGTGTCGCGTGAAACAATCACACTTAAGCTCGGAAAACTTTATAGCCGTGTGCTGAGAGTTGAGTATCCTTCTCCAGTTGGAATAGCTTCAAGAGCGGCAAGCGCAGATTCTAGTCGGCTGTCTGCGACCACTATGACATGCGTCCAAAGAGGAGCGCTAATAATATTGAGAATAATAGTGCACATTTTAGCACTATAGTCGACATTTGGTGCAGTCACATTTGTTATTCACAATTGCTTCAGTGATTTTTTTTTTTTTCATCAACGTTTTATTTGTTTTGGACACCAAATCTAGCTCCGACTACTCCCCAAGTTCCACTCACGCGGCCTATCTGTTGAAACCGAGAAGTGAAACATCGAAACAAAGGTTTTAGTACGAGTTTAGACATGACTTTCGACATATTGCTATTCCTGTCTCGTATTACAGAGGTTTATGGGACAGGTGTTGAGCTCCATTTATATATAAAAGAGCCGTTGCCCATGGTTGGTCAAGTGGTTGACGTGCATGGTTCTCTTGCAGCTATTTTTCTTTTTATCTGCCAAGTTTCTTATTTTGAAGATTAATATTCGAGATTTTCTCATCTTAAGATTAATATTAATATCACTTTATAATATCTATATAGGCTGAAATTGCACTGAAGCTGATGCTAAAACAACACTTGTCAAAACACAAATTTCGGACTCCTCACAAATTTTCTGAAGGGCTATCTTGACATCTAGGGCAGAAAGAAAGAACTTTTCTAGCACCATGTAGCTTAATGGGCAAAGCATGCAATGTTGGAAGCAAATTTTTCAATATAGGTGTAGGAAAATTTTTAACTGAAATAATGTTTTATTGCTTGGTAGCCACACATTAAAGGGGCCCTGCAAGGACTTTTTTACTGGTTTTTAATTTGCACCCAACCTGAGCACACTGAACGTAGTAACTTGATGAAACTTCTTTTCTCGAAATTCGCTTTATTTTAAAAGTTATGGGCAAATTAAAATTACAAAAACAAGCAAAAAATAACCTCCCTCATGACGTCCTTGGTTGCTTGAGTGGCCGTGCACTAGAGGAGGCGTAGTGAGCTCATCGAGCGCTCACGCCTGCCGCACTCCGTGTCGACGGCGCGAGAGGGCACCACTAAAGCATGTTCTAAATAGGCTGTATGCAGCGGGTGGCCAGAGCGGCTCTCATTGCGTTTGCTGGGCGATTAAACTCTAATTCGGCATGACACTTCATTGGCCACAAACGACAGCAAACACGGGGTAAAGGTCAGTTCAGAATGGGAGCCACTTCCCGTTGCCATACCGCGAAACGGCCAAACTGCAACACAAAGCTTCTCGCCGAAGGCCTTCGGAACGCTCGGAGCCGGTCGGATCCTGCTGTCCATACAACCGCAGCGCCGCCGCGTACATCTGGGACCTTTCCGTGTCGGCGCCTGATCCCACTACTCCTCTCTAGTATGCGTCGCCTTTTCCACCGCATGGTGCCGGGTATGTCGACGGGTCATTTCTTGTTTCCGTACTTTATGAACTGCATTCGTTTCTTTTCTGATCGAAAATACTGAACAAAAACTACTTTTATAAATAATTGAAAAATGGTTTGCGCTACTTATATTTTGTATTTCGACGAAAAAGAAGCTCTTAGCTGCTCTGACCAGTAGTAAGCCCAGGACCAAGGACGTCACATTTTTTGCATTTTCGGTACCGCAGGTCGCCCTCGTCGGTAGAGGAGGTTTCCGCGTCGTCCGGTTAAAATATGACGCACTGATATTTAGTTACACACTCCGTGTCCGCTGGCTTGCGCGAACCCCAAGAGACGTGGAAACCCCAAAAAAGGTGGACGCTTAAATATGATTGCAGGGCCCCTTTAAGCACTGAACTTTAATATGTTTTAAAGTCACTAATAATGGTTCATCTAAAAAGTGCCTCCAACATTGCATTCTTCATAATTTGTAGTACCTATGTTACAACATCCTTTTTTAAAAAATTCTTTTTCTCTATTGTTATTGGAAACAAAGTATGGTTAATTATAATTCTCATGAGAAGTAAC